ATTAAAATTCTCCCATAAAATTAGGAGATATTTAATTCACCACTTTCCAAAGAATATACACATGGATCAATAGAGGACAAAAATGTCACAAAAAAATTAGGCAAATTCAAATTGTGTACTTAGATATAAATAATTATCAAAATTAAGGATTTAATAATCCTACATTTTTTAGTATGTACTTTTTGTCAAATAAGTTTAATTTGGTGTACCTCCTTATAATTTACCCTATATTATTATTTTGTATCTCAAAAATAAGAAAAATATTTTTTGAAAAAAAATATAGTGTTATTATTTATGTCATTATAATAAATTATTGAAATGGCCTATTTAAAATTTTCGCTATGTACTATCAAGCCCACCCTAATTCAGGACAAAGTAAATATTCTCTCTATGTCCCAAAAAGGTCATTAAAGAAATATCACATTTAAAGGCGCATTTATTCTGCAATTTAGAAAGAAATAAAATTGTGATGCTAAAATCTTTGATAGAGACGGATTATATTTTAGTAGGTAAATTAACACGAAGAAATGCATTGAGCTTCGGTAGTTTGACATGTGTGCATGATAATCAAATTGCCTCAAATATGATAAATGATCTAAAATATGAAGTTGGTGTGTCTCATCCTCTAAATAACATGCCTTAGTTATATTTGGGTCTCAAGAAATTGTTCGTGTCTCTACACAAATGCTACTGATTGTCTCGATCATTGACTAAGAAGAGTTCTGATTCGGTGACTGTATAATTCTAAAATATAAAATTGCAAAATAAATGAAGTGATCAAGCGATCATTCATGTGTCAACATACATCCAATGACACTAGGAATCCGTTGAACATCTCAACAGCGGGATTTGATGCCCGCATTCGATCGAAGTTTCATTTGAGTGCCCCTAACATAAAGTAGAGCTATTTCCAGGTGTGTCGCAAGACATTAGTTAGGACAAATTGGAAAATCCCATCTTTGCCCATGTTCTAGGGATAAAGGATCACATATGTTCTTGTGTACTGTGTTCCGTTTTTGATACTTTAAAACTATGGAGACAGAGAGATGGTTTGGTTTTTTTTTTTTTTTTTTTTTAAATTTTGCTTAATGTTTACTTAACATTAAAGTGATAGCTGTTCGTTTATTAAACACTTTCTCGACGTAAAAGAAAGGAATTGTTTATATCTATATGTGCTTCCATATGACCAAAAGGAACTCTACGTCAAGCTCCTTTCTCCCTCTTCAATTTCGATTAGTAGTCCTTTTGTTTAAAAAAAAAAAAATATTCGATTAGTCATCATGAGAAATCGACTTCGGAAAATCCCATTTGTAATTTGTAAATTCGCAAAACTTTTAAAATGTACTTTTAATTTTCGGTTTTGATTTGAGATTGTTGTTACGAAGATTTATTTATTTATTATGTTAAGAAGATTTAAATAGGTATTCAAATTCATATTTTAATGAACTAACTATGGCCTATTTGAATCCTAAAATTGTGTGAAAAAGTAATAGAGAAAATCTCAAATCTGATTTATCAACACGAACTACAGGCTAAGACAGTCGTGGGCGCCTTAAATTTTCAGAAATACCCTATAATCCCATTAAGTTTTCTAAAATTTTATACATTCCCTTAAGTTATCAATTTTTTTTGTACATGTATGATAATTCAATTAGTGTATTGAAAAACCCTGATGACATGACATTTAACAACAAAACATAGATATTAATCACATGAATTAGTGTTTCTCTTAACTACATATTTGTGTAAATGTTATGACCCAGAGAAAGAAATAGAAGTAGAGATGGTGGGTAACAAACATAAATCTGCTTGCATTTTGCCTGGTTCAATGATCCTGATGAATAAATTTGTTCACTATGTAACTACTTCTCTTTGGCCCCTCTTACAGTAAAATTCTGATTCCGTCCTTAGGTGAATAGTAAGGAGCTATTGCAAAGGTTTAGGTTGAATCTCGAAGTCATCGATATTCAATAGTACCCTAACGAGAAAAGACTCAGTTGTTTTAGAGTAGTAATTACACTATTAAATTCAAAAATAAGTTCATTCCAACTCACATAATCTGCTTGCATTTTGTTTAGTACCTAGCATTGAATCGTACACTCTTTGCATTTTGGACTTGGGCAATAATAAACTCGGACTTCTTGGGTTTGATCACCGTTGATAACTCTTGGGTTTAATTGATATTTGTGATTAATGGAAAGATTTCTCGTTATTAACAACAAAAAATTAGGAACATATCCTGTAGTACAGTACTATAGGAATCATGGGCTGATTTCATAACATCTTGCTTTTCTTTTTTTTTTCAACGGTCAGATGTGTCCATGTCAAGTTACGCAAATCTCGACTAATTTCCTTTCTAATTTGATTAAAAGTAGGTCATCCACGCCGAAATTAGATAATTCATGATGGCCTGACCCAAGGAATTACCAAATTTAAATTCCAGACATCTTGATTTATAGCTTATCACTGTTATCACTTGATCTATTAATTGCGTTATAACATCTTGCTTTCGGGAATGCTTTAACTCAACCAAACTCAAAAACCCTGGTTAAACTGGTCTTGTCAGATAGGTCTGAAGATCAAATTCAGTTCAAGCTATATTGTGAAGCCCAACGAAGCCCAAAAGTACAGTGGGTTGGGCTTCATCGGAAGCATGAATGTTCTGGTTGGGCTTCACTCGCAGCATGAATGTTGTTTAAGTCCGCATTAGTTTGTGGTATTGGGTGAGATTTAGAGGGTTGGGTTATGCAAAATAGTCTAGTCTAATAGGCCTAATTTTGAGTCCCCTAAGATAATGACTTTCATCTCCAAGGCCCAGTTTAATTAAATCAAGTAAAAATTAGAGTTGAATCCTTGAATTTATAATGACTTGAGTTCGTTAATGAAATTTATTTAGTTATAAGTCTATTTTTTATCTTACTAATAAGTATTTAAGTCCACTATTGTTTTAAATTTCAAAAATACCAACGTTATTATGTTTAATTATAGAAACCTTAAAAACCTTAAAAGTAGCTTATTAAATTAAAAATTATTATCCTTTAATTCACTCGTAAATTGAAATTGAAATTTATATATAGTCCTAACCTATATATGGATATAGATACATATGAGCGAGAAATTTTTTTAATATTAGTCAAGCTCATAAAATTTAGAAGTTTTAATTTTTAATTTTATTTGATTTCTAAAAATAAAGAATAGTCTGGTAAAATTGACAAAAAATGAACTTGATAACAAATAAATTTTTTTAATGGACTTAAGTACAAATAAACCCATATAAAGAAACCGGTCTTCAAATTTCCCTTAAATCAAACTCGCTTATAAGGGGTCATGGACTTGATGAAACCCATGACTCCATGATGGTTCATTAATCGGACTTGTTACGAATCTTACCAATTTAGCCCCAACATTGGTTTTGGATTGAATGGGAAATCAGGGGCATGCTGGTAAAATTAAAACTAACAAAAGTAAATGATTTCTGACAAGAATCGGGGAAATTATAAGGCCCACATCGTAGAAAACCTCCATTTACAGACAAGATGATTGAGATACATATCCATCATAAATTAGACATTAAAAACTGAGAGGGATGGATAAGGATCAATATAAAATTCTAATCCTAATCCCACGGCCTCTTGCCAAAGAAAGATCAAACTGACGATGTATAAATCTGGGAAGTATGAACTGGGAGAGCTGGATGAACTCTGTGTGATGTGTGAGCCGTGAGCGTGTGAGGAAGAAAACAATAAGCAAGAACACAAGGACATAAATGATTTATCAAGTTGAAGAGTTAGGTTAGTTTATTGTAATCAAGGTTCTTACTCCTTTAGTTTGTATTATTTGAGGAAGAAGACGGTTACAATTAGAGAATGCAATTGCTCTGGCTTAGATAAGGCAATAATTTATCTATTTATATATTAGAGTAGTGTGGTTATCAAACAATGATGGTGTGATCCTCAAGTTTGTTAGAATATTTAAAAAAATATTTAACGGTTAGAGACCCTCTTCTTTAAATGTCTCGTGACATTTTAAAAGGTATGAGATGATATTCTTTACGCAATATAAAATTCGGTATTGTAATTCCTCTTCTATCCTTTTTTTGACGTGTCTGCTAAACTGTTTCAGTAACTGCTGAGCTATATCAATAGCTGTAAAGCTGACTAATGTCTTGGTTGTCCTGGGTTCTATAGGTTAGGACAGCCAATGCTTATTTGCGTTGCCAATTTATTTGGACTGCATGTTTACTACTCTTGTATCATTAAGCATCAAACCTCTTTTCGTAGTGTTCCTGGGCCTCCACGTCTTTTCGTAACTTTAACCGGATTCAGGTGATGCTATATCATCAGGTGGAACATTTGTCGGCAAAATTATTGAATGAATAAAAAATGCTATTTTAATTTAATTTGAGAATTTAATTTAGATCAATAGTAAACTTCGTTTAATATTAGAACCTAAGAGGACAAACTCATTTAATTAGTATTTTCACTAAAAAAAATGTATATTTGTTTTTCCGATATAGCTTGTTTAAATTATTGTTGAACCTGTGTGTATCCAAGTTAGCTGAGAAAAAAGAATACTCTCTCTAGATCTTAGAGTTTTTGGATTCACAAGTTACCCGTGTCAGAAATTGAACACAATTCGAATATGACATAACATGACTTAATTACCACCGCTAATAAGAAACACCTATGTCCATCTATCTCATAAAGAAGCCAGAACAGGCAAACAATCCTCACTTCTCAAATACTACTAACTGGGCCGTGGCATCAAACAATTGATGCTATAGTAGACAGAAACAGTTCAAGGACAAACACTCTGGTGAAGGGTAGACAGAACAATCTACAGTAGCTCAACAGAACAACCCATCATCTAGGCAATTACACAGCAGAAAAGGTAGACACAAGTGGTTTTGTGGGGTCAGATAGAAAATCAATGTGTGCAAGTTCTCAATCCATTATGATCATGTCTGCAAATGCATGATTCTGATTCTGCTCATTTCAAATGATCTGATGGAGCCAAGAGTAGGCAAAATTGTGACATTAACTTCAATAAGTTTATATAGCATCTAGCAACAATACACTTAGAAAGGAATGAAATAATATTTATGATTCAAATCAAGTAACCAAGGTTACCCTAAGGGAAAATACAAATATGTACACGTCTGACCACTAAAATCTCTGCACTGCCCTGAAAATCCTCTTCACTATTTGCCAGCTTCTTTTGCTTCTCAATAATCCACAAAAAAGAGCATATGCTGAGTCGTTATATCTGTGGCTGTGCTTCTGGGTGACGATGATTTTCCCTACTTTACAAAACCGACCCATTTGCCATATGCGAGTTCAGGATGAGCAGATCATCTTTATTGACCCAAGCAGGCAGCCCCTTGAGACTATGATCGCCACTTACTTTAGAGAAACGAAGAGAAAAAAGCATAGTTTCTCCTCAGCTCATCCCATATGTAGTCTCAAAACCCCTTTCTTCCTCAGATGCCGGCATATTTAGATCAGGTAGCATGAAGCATTGTTTCTGGGCCTCAACATCTTTTTGAAACTTATTGGAATCAGATGATGCTACCTCATCAGGTGGACCATGTGTTTGCAAAATTGAATGTGCACAATCAAAAGAATATGTTTCCATCTTTTTACACTGATCGGAAAATGCTGCATCTGGTTCATCTGATGGTGCATCTACTTTATTTTCTGATTGCATACTCAAATCAAGCTGCAGAAAGGAATACATTAATGTCACCGTATCTTAGATTTCATCAGAATTAAGAAAACAAATAAATGATGAAATGGCGAGAAGAAAATTGTTCAAAAACTATTTTAAAAGTAACTTTCATAAAAATCCAATGTGAAAGGGTTTCAAGTTCTTGCAACTGGGTCCATAGCGAAAATTACAGTAATTCTGCTACATCAATTACAATGTCATTTGTTCCTCCTTTGCAAAAGAGATGCAATGTCAACAACTAGAGCTTGGAGTTAATATGTTCTTGCACGTCCAAATTTTCATTACTAATTAATTCCCTCAAATAAACTCAAATTGTATTGTGAAATCATCACTACATCTATGAAGACAATTCTACTGGATTGTGAAGCACGAAGGCAAGGCTAAATCGAGTGCAGATCTCAGAAGGTAGACTGAATTTATTCTGGTAGGTAAGCAGAATCAGATCGAGTGATGGACAGGTACAAATTCCATGGAGCAGGGGATGGAAAGCATCAAGTGCACAATACTTCAGTGTTTCCAGCAATCTTTGAGCAAGAGCCAGACGACCCATCGCAGATGACAAAACTTTTTTTTAAGTCTTAAGACAAAGCCAAACAAGCCAGTTGGATTTAACATTAGTACAAGGGTCCTGGGGAAAATCTTAAACTGAAGTTTCTTAGTTTTAATCACCATACGCACATTACATGTGGAATGGAATTAACCCTTTAAAGGTGAACCACAATCCATAGTCCATACACATGGTTGCATGCTAAAATGATCAGATGATTTCGTCATCATCCATCTGAGTTCTCTTACTATCATACAAAATCTAGCAGGAGAAACGAGAAAGTGCACCTTGATTCTCTTTAAGTTCTCCCTTGTGTCCCTCTGTTCTTTCAGAGTTACCTGCATAGATGCTAACTCCTGTTTGACAGGTGTCAATACAGTGGACAAATTAGGATCACGGAAAAAAGTTGACAACAAGAAGATGTTAGTAATTGAAACTTAGAAAAAAATATACCCTCTTCAAATGTCGTCTTTCCTTCAACAGTACATTCGCTTCCTCCTTAAGTTCAATGAAAGTCTGCCGAAATTAATAAAACTTCCATGAGAATTACATGATTACAGAGGAAAATTCTATCTTCGTTGAGAAGACTGATTAACACAGTTCAGCCCTAAAAGAACATGCAGCATATGGACAACTTGAGCAAATCATATAAACACGAACCAACAAAGTACAAATGCTGCATATCAAAGGTGCAGGCTTAAACTTACCTTCTTTCTTCTTGAAGCGTTGGTGGTAGTGCACATGGAGTTGATTTCGCTTGTAAAAGGGCCCTGAAAACATCCATCATATGTTTCAAAATAAGTTTATACACACATTTCCAAATCAATACACAAAAAGCATATAGGAATAACGTGTTAACTGTTGAATGGGCCTAATGCTAATGAACAAATGCTATCATAACTTACCAAAAAAAAACTACATGATAACCGCACCACCACATTACACATCTTTTGTTCTTTAGTAGCAGCATTACTCATCTAATTACTCTCAGCTTCCTCATAGAGAAAGAGGATATGAGCCCCTACTTGTTCCAACACAAAATGGATGACCTTAGAGCCCACGACAGATCATAACTCAAATGCCTCGCCCCATAATCCATCCGATAACCCATAACGAGTCCCCGTTCAAACCAAGCGTCCGCTATAGTCTTGAAATATTGCTTTTCGCCATCACATCTCTTCTTGTTCAATAAAAACATGACATGTATAAACTTTTTACTTTATTATTTTCACAATCCATGACTATAAATAAATCAAACCAAGATCTACCACTATGTCTACCCATCATTGAAATGTTTTTCTGGGTAAGATGCCTTCTCATCCTGAAACCAATTTCCCACAACCTAAAGGACCCGAAGCCCATGTATAAAATTGGATTGCATGAATCTTGATTTGCGCATCACATCAAGACTCTTTCTAGCAGTGATGTGACCTTAAGATCAGAAATCCGAAACCCCCCCCCCTTCTCTCTCTCTCTCTCTCTCTCTCTCTCTCTCACACACACACACTAACTAAAAAACTCAAATAAAACAATAGTCAGCAGGCTTGCAAAAGTGCTCCCACCTGAATACGCTCCCCCACCATTACAAACCCCAACCCCCACCCAAAAAAAAAAACCAACAACAAAGAAACAATATAACTCTCTCAGCCCCCTCCCCCTTCCTCCTCCTCTGGGGTCCATCCGTCCATTTCACCACCCCTTAGTGAAATGACAAATAAACCAACCAAATTAGGGAGAATTTTCCAATCAAAAAAGGGTATCCTCTTTATTTATTTTTTTAACCCCCGACTGAAAGTCATCACCAGTGAGGGTGATTTGGTCAAATGGAAACAAATCACCTTTTCTTTTTTAAATCGAAAGAACATTTGAGAAAGGAAAACAGCCCAACCAACAAGATTGACAGGTGACTGGAGACAAAACGAGAGAGAGCATCTCTCGATTTTTATCTACGTGACTCCAATTCCTACCCAAGGGCAATTTTGTAATAAAAAGTTGAATATGATACGCACACAGAAAGAAAATAGAAAGACACCATCATCGATGATCCGATGACCGCCGATCGGAGAGACGACTGTAGTCCGAATATTGGGAATTGACCGGAATGCCCCCTAGTGGGCTCGAGGGTGTATGCTATAACTGAAAACGATGAAGAAACAGTGGGCCCGCAACTGACAACTCCCACCAAGCCCAACGAGAAGTAAATTAGATTGATGAAGAAGGTCAAAATGGTCATAAAATAACAGAAAATTGGCATTTTCAAAGACATCAACGTCTCGTCGTCCATAGATGGAGACCTCAAAAACTCAGAAAGCGCAATTATATTAAAACACCAGGGGGTAATCCGGTCAAACCATAAAAAAGAAGAATGTCACTGTATAGATCACATCGCCAGACAGCTGACGCCATCGCCGAGAACTGGAAAGACGATTACGAAGAAAATAAGATTAAAACGGAGGGTAAAATTGTCAAAAATCAAATTCTTTGCTTTGAAGAGGAAAAAAAATGATAGGAATGTTTTCGATGGATTGACAAACAACGGGACCAAAACGCAGAACACATCCTTAAACCCATCCATGAGGGGGTATATCGGTCACACCAAGAAAAAGACAGACACTAGAGAGATCGGATGACCATAAAGATGACGCCGACGCTCTCATCATATAAGATAAGATTGAAAACAAAACGCAAGTTGCAAAACAAAAAAAAAACGATCTGTGTCCTTGCCTAGGAACAAAGAGAACTGGTCCGTTGGGAGATGAAGAAGAAGTATAAGAAAGTCAGGTGGCCAGAAATCTGACACCACCGCCGGAGATGAAGAAGAAGTACAGAGAGAGATAGATGGAGAGAGAGAGAGAGGGGGGAAGCTGACACAAACCTTGGATCTGGCACCGGAGGATAGATCGGATGGCCGGCTGGACTCACCGTCGCTAGGCGTAGCGGAGCCGCCAACGCCGTCGCTCCAAGACAGCGGCGTCGTAGGACTAAACGTCGTCGACGACTCCTTCCTCATCGTGACCAGCTTCGACCGCGGCTGACGGTTACCCCACCCTAGCGGCGGAAGAACCGGCGGTGGTTCCGGCGATGACTGTTTGAGCCGACACAGCAGCTCCACCACTACCATGTCATCCACTAACGCCTCCGTGACCCACTCGTCCTTCATCATTTGCCCTCGTCTTGGTGGTTATCTCTGACCCAGATAGAGAAACAGATAGACAGAGCTACCAGATGAGATAACTGTGTGCAGAGCTGGAGAAAATACAAGAGGGAGGAGGATTGGAGGAAATAGAGAAAGAGAAGAGGGTAGCGCCTAGGGAGACAGGCTATATATAAAGGGCAAATGGGTTGGGTTGGTGAATGAAAATGGAGTGGGGTCAGAGGGGTGTGTGTATATATATATATATGGTTATGGTGTATGTATATATCCGGATCTACGGTTCTCTTTGGGGAGAGGAAGGAAAGAGTAGGTTGTTTGGGGGAGAGGAAGGAAGGAGTAGGTTCCAGTGCTCCTTCGTTTTTTCTCTCCTTTTTGTTGGGCAGCGGGTCTACAGACTCTAAACGCTCGACTCTTTTCCTCTCTCTCTCTCTCTCTCTCTCTAACTTAGAGGAGAACCCACTTGGTGACAATCACCTTCCAGTTTTCATTCGCCTAGGGTTTTCTTTTCTCTGCGGGGCGGTTTACGGTTTGAGTTGATCTGGACTGTCCATACGAATAGTCGTGTGTCCCACAATCAAAGCTATGAATGCAGGAGATCTTTCCTTTTTAAGTAATACCTTCACGTCTCAACCGTTCAGAATCCGAGTTTACTCGGATCCAAATTCAAATACGGTTTAATTCGAATCTATTCAAATTTTTTGAGGGATTTCATCTCAGTATTCATAACCGAACGTGTTAAAAATTTGATCTGATTCGAATAACTTATATAATTATTTAATTGCATCATATTTTCAAATATGTGGTTTATAATATGCATCAGATCAAATATTAGTATATAAATAATAGAGTTCAATTTAGATTAAGAAAATTGATTAAATAGATCTAATATATATTTCTAAAGAAAAGAGGATCGACAAGAACAATGTAATTTGTATCGGGGATTGATATAATACACGGTGTGAGTGAGTATTGGTAAGTCATATCTGATACGTGGTGCAATTAGAAAACCTTAATGGGTACATTATTTTAAATCATAATTTCTTGATCAATTTCACTTTAACATAGAAGTATGTAGGTATACTTGATTAACTAAATGCACATCTCTGATCAAGTTCTACATCAAACCATAATCAAAGACGATGTACTGGCTAATTCTTACAACTAATAAAAGCTAACTTACATGAAAAAAGAATTCAAATAACACAAATTGTAATATAGGTTTAAACATTGTCAAAATTAAGAAATAATCAGATACAATTCTTAATTAGGGTTACTTATAAATTGAAATTATCAGTATTGTAGTTTGATTTGTGATTTGAGTTATAATTTGAGATCGCCAATTTAAGTGACATAGATTGTGAACTTACCTTATGTTGGGTGGTGCAATTTTGAATCGTGGGACACTTAAGTTTCTTTCCCTTTTGTTTTTTCAAACGGTCAAGGGTGCATAAGTTAAATTACGCCTATCTCGACCAAGCCCTTATTCTTCCCGATCAAAGGTACATCATTCACTTTAAAATTAAATGTATTCACGAGGGATAAATTCTGTATAAGCTAGTCACAGGAGATTGTCAAATTCAAACTCAGAATGTCTAAATTTATAACTCATTTTTATTATCACTTGAATTACTTTAAAATTCGAATCCCGTATTTATCTACCATCTCGATGTTTAGGACGGAGGAAATCACTCGAACTATCCTAATGGTCAATGTTCATTTTATGTTGGAGAATTGAATTTCAGCAAGTTAGGTATGTGCATTTATTATTTTCTACATACATAAGAATGAGTACCAAACCTTTGGATTGCATTCCTATTTTAGCAGCAATAAGTAAGATGATGCAACTTAACGACAAAAATATATATTTGAGTGAAAATAATAAAATTAAGGTATTTTTTCACTTGATATTATCGAGTCATTCAATTTTTTCTTTCTTTTTTTTGCAACGGTCACTACCTTCTTTTTCAAAGTTATTCACATTGTATCATTTCTAAGACACGAGTTATCCCTAGTTTACCCTATAAACATAAACAAACAAGTAAGATGATTTAAAATAGCAGTAAATGAATGTTTGATACGAATTGATTAGATTATGGTATGTTTTTTAATTATTACGCTAACAAACAAAAGAATAACTCCAATAAAAAAAAACGACAATTCGTTATCAATAAATGTATCGAACAAGAAACTAATTATTGAATGGTGTTCTTATTAGTTTGCGAAGCTTGAGAAACGTTACGAGCAATAGAAATGAGTGATACAAGTTTAGCATCAAGCAATCATATAATTCGTGTTGTCATTGCGGTTCAGAATTAGAATTGTCAATTGAAAGTTTTTTTTTTTTAAGTTTAAATTACAATGACATTGTTTATAATTTTTTTTTTATCATCGTAGAAACTAGGGATGCAACTTGGGTTGGGTAACTCGATTTTAATCCAATCTTAACCCGAAAAAATTAGGGATTGGGCAATAGATTTTTAATACTTTAATTGGGCTTGGGTCAAAAAATTTCAACCCGAATTCAATTTGGGTTGAGCTCGGGTTAGGAGCTCGTGAATTCGAGTTCAATCTGAACCCGAAAAATTAAAAAAAAAATTATATATATATATATATTATATAAAATATTAACACTGATTTTTCATTTTTGTTCTATCGTTCTCTGTCTCTCTCGTTCTTTTTGTTTCTCTCGTTCTCTTAACCTCGTTGAAGTTATTAGTTGTTAACTTAGGTGAATATTATGTAATATATGTATTATGTTTAGAATAATAAGTCTATTTTAAGTTTTACCCGAATTGAACTCATAAAATAACTCAAAATCAATTCAAAATTATCAACCCGAATTAAACTCAGACAGTGCTCAAGTTTAATTCCCAAGCCAAAAGATTGAATTAGTGTTAAAGATTATATACATCGAATTAAACTAGGATCGATTGTCTAACCGGTTTAACCCGTCCAAGTTACACTGCAGTATAAACATATTTTTTTTTATTTTTCAAAATTGTACTAACCTCTAGCGAAGCTTTGTCGTGACTCGTGGGACATGGTCAACAAAAGATGGTGCAATTAATGTGTTGCCTTTAAGGGAAAGTCTATGGTATCGTCTTGATACCGTGTTAATATTTATTATTTTTATAATAAAATTATAATTCAAAAAAAGAGTTACAACTGAAAAGTTCATATTCGATCAAAGAAATTATGAACGATCACAGATATATATGATCAATCATGAATTTCTATTGAAAAATTATAACTTCTCTTTATGAGTTATAACTTGACATTTTAAAATTATAATTTTATTATTAATTTCAATTTATTATGACATTTAAAAGTTATAACTTACGTATCAAAAAAAATTATAACTTCAACCTTCAATGATTGTAAATTTTGAACGGTAGCTCATTTGATGCCTCGGTCTTTCCCTGCCATCAGAATGTAGGGCAAATTCACACCTTTCAAACCACCCATACAACTCCCTTCCCAGTCAAAACCACCAAGACCAACCTCTACCTCTCTACCCCAGAACCCGGATTGTGCCTCTGGATCCGTCCGATTATCAGCCTCCGTCCATTTTTCGAAAATAAATATATTTGACATTTATAAATTAAATTATTTAAAAATTAAAATTAATTTTTTTTAATATTTTAAGTGTTCTTTAAAAATAAAATAAAATATTAAGTATAATATCTCTTACTTAATTATGAAAATTAAAAAAGCTTAAGAAGAGTATCTTTTATAATTTTTCAATAAAATAATTTTATTCTAAAATATTTCACAATTCTTTATTTTAGTGTTTTAAAATCCGGTCCGACTGCACGGGTTTACCCGGTAACAAGGTGAACCGGCCACTAAACCGGGCTGGTTACTTAGATCGTTTCGGTATAAAACCCAGCAAAAAAATGCTGAACCGAACGGTTCTTGCCTAAACTGTTCAACCCGAACGGTTTTTAACAAATCGGGCAGGTTCATTAAAGCAGTATAGAAGCCAAATATTTGGGCATTTTTGCCCTAATAGTTTTCTTTTTCCACGTTGCTTTTCTTCTACTGTGCCTCTACCTCTCTTGAGTCCCAACTCTCTCTCTCTCTCTCTCTCTCTTAGTCGAAGGGTAGAACAAATCAATGAAGTGCAGATCTGCAATGAACAGGAGGAGGAGGCATCCACTATCATGTCAGTCGATCCTCCTTGACGATTCTTTTCACGTCCTTGGATCTTAACGATTTGCTTCACTCATTTAGCAGGTACATCACTGTTTTTCTCTCTTTGTGTTTGTGTGTGACTCTCCCTCTCCATCAGTCTTTTTGTCATGAAGAAAAACTATTAGGATTCTGCTGGAGATATAATCTTTACAATGTTATTTTGCTGTATTTGGTCTGAATGAAAACACTTGCTTTCTGTTGGGATGTCCATCGAATACGAAAAATTTACATTGAGCTTTTGATAGCACAGAAATGTTGCTTAATTGGTTTTTCAAATACTTATTACAGAGGCAGTATAACTATAAATGGTTACCTGTTCCTATGCCACATAGATTCGATCAATCTATATACATTTGTCTCTTTATGTTTACTGGGTTTTTTTTTTTTTTTTTCTGTATTGCACTGAACAGTGGCTGTTTGGACTTTGGAGACGGTGGTTGTTCTTGTCTTAGATCTGTTAGTCATTTTTGTTCACTGTCATCTTTTTCTTTATTTGTTTTTGATATACGGATCTGTTAATTTTGATTATTGAATGGATTTGATCGATAATTTTTGGGTTTTTGTCTAATTAATATATATATTTTTAATGATATTGTGATAATTTTTATAATGTTTTAGTCCATTTATTAATAATAATATTTTTTTATTATATTATTGATTAATTAGTGATCTAACGGTTAAATTAATAACTCATTGACCTAATTCCTTGATATCCAGCCCGGATTTTAACGCCATGCTTTTTTTATCCCCATATACAGTTCTCTCTCTCTCACACACACATCGAATCACATGCACCCCCACTCCCATCCCAAACACACATACCGAATCACATGTACACACATAATCACACATATACTGCACACACACACACTGAATTACACGTACATAACCACATAAAATTACACACACAATCACATAGATTTACACACGCATACCGCACACACAATAATTAAATTAGGGCACCTACAAATATTTGTTATTTTATTTATATTTTTTTCAATTTTTTTATTATTCGATTATTCTATTATTCAATTTGTTATTATTTTAATGTTACTTTGTTTGGTTAACCGTTCATTTGTTCATTTTTTTTATCAAATTTATTCAATTGTTTTATGCATGTTTGTTGAATTTTCTATTGTTTCATTTTTTTCTAGTTCAATTATTTCTATGTATTAGACTAAATTTATGCTATGAATTACTTGTAGTGATAATATTTTCGAAATTAAGAGTGAAAAAGGTAAA